CGTGGTTTTTCACTCCATCAATTATTAAAAATCACCCGATATGAATAACTGAGTGTAGCATCTATACCCTCCTAACTATCGATTTTGAAATTTTATTATCTTGTCAAATAGCAGGGAAATTCTAAGCTATATCGGGTTATTTACTCCGTGTCGTTATCTAATCTCATCAACTTTTTCCAATCATCCGACGCGCAAATAATCCGGTATATAACTTTTCATCTATGTATCTCTTTAGCATGTATATTTTATTCTCTGACTCATATTCATGTGTACATGCCAAGTGAATACTTTATCTGGTGCATCAGATAAAGTCAACTTGAAGGATGAGCTGTAAAGTAGTGTAATGAGTTGTTGCACTAGAAGACAGAAAACGTGAGGACCACTGACTGTGGTGGACACCTGTCGTTTTCTCAGTGGTTTGCTTGGGGACCAAGTTTGCTTTATGCTAGGGTTAACTGCAGATATAAAGCACTTGAAGGAGAGGCTTGAAGGCTAAGGCTAATCAAGGAGATAAGGCTTGAAGGGCTGGAAAGATAGGAAACTCTCAAGAACAAAAGAAGAAGCTAGAGGGAAAGCAAGAAGGAAATCTTCACAGGGTTTGTGAGATTTGGAGTTGGGAAACAAGAGAGAAACAGTGAGGTATACACAGGGGAGTGTCAATACAACTTAGGTGAAATAGCTGTTGAGAGCTTGAGTGTTATCATTATCTTGTAATCTGTAACCTTCTTGATCTAGTAGATTTTGTTCTCTCTGCACAGTGGATATACGCATGTGGTGATACAGGTCGAACCACTTTAAATATTGTGTTTTTTATCTGTTCTATAGCTTTCTGTTTTAGATCTATGGTAACTGTAGTTGTGTTATCTGCAACGGTGTCAACAGTCGGTTGAGTCAATGGTATATGTGTGTTCTTTCTTGGTTTGATTTTCATTTTGTGTGGCTTGTTATTGTCTGTGAACCTGAATCCACAACAATTGATGCCGTCTGTGGAAAGATCTAAGCATATAGTATGGGATCTACCAAGTTTGAGGTGGAGAAGTTCTCGGGATCAAGTGACTTTGGTCTTTGGAGAGTGAAGATGAGAGCTATGTTGGAGCAGCAGGGGTTGATAGATGCTTTGAAGGCTGCCAAAGAGCTTTCGAATTCCTTGTCAGAAAAGGAGAATAATGACTTGATGGATAGAGCTCACATCTCGATCATCTTCAGCCTTGGTGATAAGGCTCTAAGGGAAGTAGCTAGAGAGACCACTGCACAAGGCGTTTGGTTGAAGTTGGAACAACTGTATATGACCAAATCTTTCACAAACAGACCCTACTTGAAACATAGACTATATTCCTTCAAGATGAGTGATGACAAGCCTCTGTCGGAACAGATAGATGAGTTCAACAAGATTGTGGATGACCTTGAGAATATTGAGGTGAAGCTTGAGGATGAGGATAAAGCTCTGATGCTACTCAATGCTATTCAAGTCTTATGAGCATTTCAAGGATGCACTGGTGTATGGGAGAGAACACACCATATCACTGGAAGAGGTGCAATCTGCAATCAAGGCTAAAGAATTGCAGAAGAAACTTGAAGGGAAAGCTTATGAATCTGGAGAGGGACTTATTGTCAGGGGCAGATCTGAGAAGAGAGACTTCAAGGACAAGAAATCGAAGAACAGATCTAAGTTGGCACATGGCAAGAAGACTATTGTAGAGAGGGGTGAATGGGAGTGCTTTAGGTGCAAGAAACCTGGTCACTTCAAGAAGGATTGCCCGAAGAAGAAAGCACAAGATCAAAGGCACAATGGTGAAGCTGGTATTATAGCTGATGAATTTGAATCCTATGATGTCATTGTTCACTAAAGGTGATGTAACAAATGATTGGATATTGGATTCAGGATGTTTTTTCACATGACATCAAATAAGGATTGGTTTGAAACTCTTTGAACTCTCGAGTTGAATGAAGGGGGTACAGTCTTATTGGGGAATAATGATGTTTGCAATGTGAAATGGATTGGTTCGGTAAGAATCAAGACGTTTGATGGAATTGAGAGGATCCTACCGAAAGTGAGATTTGTTCCTCAGGTAAAGAGAAACTTGATATCTCTTAGAGTCTTAGACAAGAGTGGCCACACGTTCAGTGGGGACAATGACATTCTGGAGGTGTATAAGGGGTTAGTGGTTGTTATGAAGTCATTCACAAACAATGGGATTTACCATATGTCTGGTCAGACGGTTATTGGTAAGAAGTTCTAGGGAGAAGTTGTGGTAACAACAACATGTCTCAACAACAGAAGTCCCACCACAGCAAGTGAACTCAAAACTCCAAATGAGAAATGGTATGGTAAGCCTCCTAATTTCATTAATTTGAAGGTCTTTGGTTGTTTAGCCTATGCCGATAAAGGTGATAAACTAGAACCAAGAGCCCTCAAATGTGCCCTTATTGGTTATCCAACCGGGGCTAAGGGGTTTAAGTTATGGTGTCGGGAACTTGGTCAAGGGAAGTGTATTGTGAGTAGGGATGTAGTCTTTGATGAATCGAAGATGGCAAAGATGATTTGATATCGGTTTACTCAAGGAACTTCAAGTGATGGCACTCAGATTGAGGTGGAGTTTCCGCAAAAGACCACAGTTGAGCAGGTTGTGACCAGAGATGCTCAGGAAGAATCTGATCACAGTGAGAGTTCTGAATCAGAGGATGATCTGAGGGATTATCATTTGGCCAGAGGTAAAACCATGAGGCTAATTAAACCACCTATAAGGTTTGGACAAGCTGATATGTTTTCCTATGCACTCAATATTGCTTTTGAGATAGAAGATGAGCTAGCCACTTACCAGGAAACAAATAAGAATGAAATGCGGAAGAGGATTGAAGCTATGGGGAAAGAGATAGCTTCAGTGAAGAAGAATGGGACTTGGGTCTTGGTAAAGAGACCAAGTGGGAAGAAGCCGATGAGTTGTCGATGGCTCTTCAAGAAGAAGGAGGGAATCCCTGGGGTGGAAAAGCCTAGGTACAAGGCTAGATCAGTTACTAGGGGAATCTCACAAGTGAAAAGGATAGATTTCAATGAAATCTTTTCACCGGTGATTAAACATTGCTCAATCAGAATCATGTTGCCACTAGTAGCACAGTTAACCTTGAGTTGGAACAGGTGAATGTTACAACAGTTATCTCACATGGTGTGTATGTGAGGAAAACAGAATCAACAGTTAGAGCTTACTTGATAAAAATGACATGCCCATTGCAAAAAAGTCTAAGGAGGAAATAGATGATGTTAAGGAGAAGCTGAAATTTGAGTTTGACATGAAAGAATTGAGGCCTGCTGCTACCCCCTTAGTCGGTGATATCGGTAATGACTTGAGTGTGGCCGAGTCATGGCCGAGAAATGGTGCCAAGCAAGGGTTGGCACAAGACAGCCACATAATCACCCAATGAGTGGTCGAGTGTCGGGCAAGCATTCGGGGTGTTTGTCCGAGAAAACAAGGATCGGCTTGATTCAAGTGGGAACGGTGATCGAAAGTACTAGTGGCTGGCACGGGCATTGCTCGGCAGCAAATGCGGACAAGCGTGGGCAGTAATCGGCATGTGGCCGATAACTTGGGCAAACGAACGTTCGAAGGAAATTGACCACGACTTGACAAGTGTGGGCAATTTGACACGACCGATTGGCAAGTCAATGAAGGCAGCCCGATGTGCGGGCGTGCTAAAGACCGTGTGGGCAAAGAACTAGCAAGTGATGGGCAATACAAGCAAAACGTGCGGAAAAGGCAAGGCAGATGGGCTGCCTAGCAACCGGCCGGGCGGTTTGGGCCGTTTGGCGCGCGCGCGCGCCCGATCAAGATGGGCTTCGAAAATCAGCATTGTGGGCGGATTTGAGGGAAGTTACGGAGCGGTTGAGGCTTGGAAAGCATGAAAAACTGCCCCGTATTACTTGTAATAGTTAACCAAGTGTCATGTATGTATGCTGCCATGTGTCCTTAGGTAGTTTTATGTGAAAACTACATTCTTCCTTGTATTTATTGGGCTATGAGTGCACAAATCCGACCCATCTAGCATTAGAGAGTTCAGATTGCATTGGTGGGCATTCTGAGTGAGGATTTTGTGTGTGCACCCTAGTCTCCTTTGTATTCTTTGTGGGAAATCAATATAAAGGTTGGGCATTGCCCGTAAACGTGCTTGTGTGTTTGTTTTCCGCTGCATACTCTTATGTTCGTTTACGTTGGCTTAAAAGACTTGTGTTTGTGCATTTTGTACGAAGAGAATCGAGAGGAAGGCTGACTGATTTGGTGGGCAAATCAGGCCGCACGGGCGAAAATTTCTTGAGTAAAGAAACCCCTATGACAGTTGGTATCAGAGCCCGGTTCAAGAGTTCTGAACGTGTTGATGTTCGGCATGGCTGACGATTCTGGATCTTCGACAAATCCGAATCCTACTCGTGTGATGATGCTAGAAATGGAATCAAGGCTGCAACGTCTTAAAGCCTTGGTTGGGCCGCCCCTAGATCCAACGGATCCACCAATTTTGCAATGACTTGCTGATGGGAAGCAAGAACTCGATCGCTTGGCAAGATCGTTGGATGATCTGCCCCAATTTGTGGAGGGCAGATTCACGTCCGTTGCTGAGGAGATGGGACTCCTCATTGATGCCGTTGAGACAAATCTTGAGGGAATGCTTAGTGATTTGACGGTGCTTAAGAGGGCTGTTTGAAATGAAGGATCAAGTTCTGAGGGCAGAACGTCGGGATCCAAAGTTCGGGTGCCGGAACCGACTGCGTTTGATGGTGTGCGCAGTGCCAAAGAAATCGAAAACTTCGTGTGGGATATGGAGAATTACTTCGAGACTGCAAAGGTTCCGGATCGTGAGAAAGTGACCATTACAAGTATGTATCTCGTGGGTGATGCAAAATTGTGGTGGCGTGCTCGTTTATCAGACGATGCAAGTGCTAACCGAGTGAAGATCGAGACTTGGAAGGTGCTGAAACGGGAATTGAAAGAGCAATTCCTTCCTTGCAACGTGGGCTGGATTGCAAGGGAATCCCTTAGGCAATTGAAGCACAAGGGAACCGTGAGGGAGTATGTCAAGGATTTCAGTTCTCTGCTCCTTGACATACGTGATATGTCCGATGAAGATAAGATGTTCAACTTCATGGTTGGATTGCAGCCATGGGCCCAAACCGAGTTGCGGAGATAAGGCGTGAAGGATCTGCCAAGTGCTATCTCGGCAGCCGATCGACTTGTCGATTACAAGGTGATGGGGGCCGATGATTCCGATAAGAAAGGCTCAAAGAAGGATAATTCCAAGGGAAAGAAGTTCGGTGGCAAGGGTGACCGTAATTGGAAGCAAAAAGAGAACGGTGATGGCGAGGGATCCACGGTGCAGGCCAAGACCGGTGGACAACCCGTCGTCAACAAACAAAACTGTGGCTGATTTCTATGTGATGACAACCACCGGATGAGGGACTGTCCTAAGAGGAGCAAGTTGAATGCTTTGATGCGGGAGTCAGATAGTGAGGAAGAGTCGGATGAGACGAGGCGTGCGAATCCGATTCAGTTGTTGAGTACTTTGGTCGTGGACAAGGCACCCAACGGCACCAAGGGCTTGATGTATGCCACGGTGCTGATCAATGGCAAAGAAGTGAAGACGATGGTTGATTCGGGAGCAACACACAACTTCGTTGCCGCGAGAGAAGTCAAGAAGCTGGGCTTGACTCTCTCAAAACATGCAAGTCAAGTTAAGGCTGTAAATTCGGAGGCGGGGCCGGTGAAAGGCAGAACCGATGTTCATTTAGTGATCGGTTCTTGGAAAGGGCAGTGCGGATTGACTGCCGTACCACTAGATGATTTAGATGTGATATTGGGGCAAGAGTTCCTACTTGCTGCCAAGGCTGCGGTGATACCGTTTCTCGGAGGGTTGATGATTATGGACGAAGAGTGTCCATGCTTCGTTGAATTCTCGTACGTCACGAAAGAAAATGCGGGAAAGAAACCGGTGGAAATGTTGGCTGCGGTGCAATTGGAGGCAGAATCGAACGACGAGGAGTCATCGAGCCTAATTGCAGCCGTTGGAAACAAGACGGTGAATTCTCGGGCTGGTTTGCTTGTACGTGCGTTGCCGAGAAATGAGACAAGGGCCGAAGGCAAGTTGAGGTATTCATTTGGGCTTATGAATGGGCGTTGTGGCCTTACTTTTGTTTCAAGTTGCTGCCGTGTGTGGCATAATTCGTGGGTTCGAAATGTGGTATTTTCTGAATTTATGTTGCGTGTTGGATTTTGCTTGGGCTGGTTTCTGTTGTTGATAAAATGGAAGTCGTGTTTGGGTGATTCTCATAGGTTAGAATTCTCCTTTCTCGATCGGTGTGGCAATCGAGATAAAATGCTAGTTGTGCTAAAAACTAGTATTTTCACTTGTGGTTGGGTGCTGCTGTTTGAACGTGATTGGCGTTCGTTTTTCCGTGGGCTGAAAGAATATGTGGGATGTTCGTGGGATCAGACTTGGGATATGGGTTTCGATGTGGTGCAATTGATCAAGCACAATCGAGGACCGTAGCAAGATAAGTGGAAACGAGGGAAAGCTGAAGCTGATGGTTTCGGTTCGACGAAGACGTCGAACACCGTTGGTGGGGGAGGTTTATTACCCCCTTAGTCGGTGATATCGGTAATGACTCGAGTGTGGCCGAGTCATGGCCCAGAAATGGTGCCAAGCAAGGGTTGGCACAAGACAGCCACACAATCGGCCAATGAGTGGTCGAGTGTCGGGCAAGCATTCGGGGTGTTTGTCCGATAAAGTAAGGATCGACTTGATTCAAGTGGGGACGGTGATCGAAAGTACTAGTGGCTGGTACGGGCATTGCTCGGCAGCAAATGCGGACAAGCGTGGGCAGTAATCGGCATGTGGCCGATAACTTGGGCAAACGAACGTTCGAAGGAAATCGACCACGACTTGACAAGTGTGGGCAATTTGGCACGACCGATTGGCAAGTCAATGAAGGCAGCCCGATGTGCGGGCGTGCTAAAGACCGTGTGGGCAAAGAACTAGCAAGTGATGGGCAATACAAGCAAAACGTGCGGAAAATGCAAGGCAGATGGGCTGCCTAGCAACCGACCGGGCTGTTTGGGCCGTTTGGCGCGCGCGCGCGCCCGATCAAGATGGGCTTCGAAAATCAGCCTTGTGGGCGGATTTGAGGGAAGTTACGGAGCGGTTGAGGCCTGGAAAGCATGAAAAACTGCCCCTTATTACTTGTAATAGTTAGCCAAGTGTCATGTATGTATGCTGCCATGTGTCCTTAGGTAGTTTTATGTGAAAACTACCTTCTTCCTTGTATTTATTGGGCTATGAGTGCACAAATCCGACCCATCTAGCATTAGAGAGTTCAGATTGCATTTGTGGGCATTCTGAGTGAGGATTTTGTGTGTGTACCTTAGTCTCCTTTGTATTCTTTGTGGGAAATCAATATAAAGGTTGGGCATTGCCCGTAAACGTGTTTGTGTGTTTGTTTTCCACTGCATACTCTTGTGTTCGTTTATGTTGGCTTAAAAGACTTGTGTTTGTGCGTTTTGTACGAAGAGAATCGAGAGGAAGGCTGACTGATTTGATGGGCAAATCAGGCCGCACGGGCGAAAATTTCTTGAGTAAAGAAACTCCTGTGACATCTACCAAGATGATCTTGAGAATGCAGATAGTAAAGAACAGGTGTAAATTACCAACTATTAAATTAAAAAAAATGGAAAAATGATTGAAGAAAAAACACTTTTAATGGTATTTAAATTTAAATGGTGCAAGTATTCATGAATTTAAAAGTCAACAGTCAATACTTGTAGTGGGCTACCTTTTCTTTTTTTGTCTTTTTTTTTATAAGTTTTTAGTGGGCTACCCTATCACTATTTAGTAACCACCAGTCGTGGGCATTAACTCTACTTCAATTGACCAAACATGCATGCTCTTAATAGTACACAAAAATTCACCATAAATGAATTCCAATCGTAAAACTGATTCAATACGCGTGAATACGATGTAATAAATTATGTATAGATTTACGGTTCATATTCACCCAATATAAATAATCCGATATGACATTCCTGACCTAACTTAGACGACCTTAACTGATAGAGGCCAAAATGAAGTTGTACACCTATAAAATAAGGTACCATTAAATTCACTCAAACCACAATTGAGAAACACACACACACACACACACCATGGGTTCTCATCCACAACCACACTTTGCAATCTTCCCATTCATGTCACAAGGCCACATCATCCCTCTCCTCCACCTCTCCCGCCTCCTCCGGCAGCGGCGATCAGCCGCCGCCGTCACAATCTTCACCACCGCCGGAAGCTCCCCTCCGATCCGCGCCGCCCTCCACGACACCGACATCTCCATTCTCGAACTCCCTTTCCCACAAAACATACAAGGGGTCCCGCAAGGTGTCGAAAACACGCACGACTTGCCATCGATGTCGTTTTTCGTGCCGTTCGTCGAATCCACTAGACTAATGAAGGAAAGCTTCGAGCAAGCCCTAGAAACCCTAAAACCGCCCGTTTCTTGCGTGATTTCCGATGTATTCCTCGGTTGGACTCTTCGATCGGCCGAGAGATTTAATGTTCCTCGGCTCGTTTTTTTCGGGATGGGGCAATTTTCTTTCACCATGTACCAAATCTTGGGCAGAGAAAGGCCACATGCAGAAACAAATTCTCTCGACGAGCCCTTTTCGATGCCCGGTTTCCCTCATTTGAAATTAACGAGAAACGATTTCAGCCCGCCGTTTAATGAAATCGAGCCATCGGGACCGTATGTCGATTTCATGGCGGAGCAGATAACATCGATGGTTATGAGTCAAGGGTTGATTGTGAACACGTTTTACGAACTCGAAAAGTGTTACGTCGATTTTTGGAACGATAAACTTTGTCCGAAAGCTTACTGCGTCGGCCCGCTTTGCATGGCGGCGGCGGCGGCGCCGCCGGAGAAGCCAGGTTATGTAGGGTTTCTGGACGAGAAGTTGGATTCCGGGGTGGATGTGTTGTACGTGGCGTTTGGCACTCAGGCGGAGTTGTCGGAGGAGCAGTTACTGGAAATTTCCGAGGGTTTGGAAAAATCTGAGGTGAGTTTTCTTTGGGCTTTGAAATCAAAGGGTTTGGAATTTGTTCCGGGTTTTGCGGAGAGGGTTAAGGGTAGGGGTGTAGTGGTGGAGGGGTGGGTGGATCAGCTGGGGATACTCCGGCACGGCGGCGTGAAGGGGTTTCTGAGCCACTGCGGCTGGAACTCGGTGATTGAGAGCATCTCCGCCGGAGTGCCGCTTCTTGCGCTGCCGTGCATGGCGGAGCAGCACATGAACGCGAGGTTTGTGGCGGAGGAAGCTGGGGTGGGGCTGAGGATGAGGCCGGCTGGGGGTTCGTCGGTGCTGGGGTTGGTGGAGGCGGAGGAGGTGGAGGGGAGGGTGAGGGAGCTGATGATGGGGGGTGAGGAAGGGGCGGCGGTGCGGCGGAAGGCGGCGGAGCTTGGCGGTGCTGCGGCTGACGCAATGAGAGAAAGGGGTTCGTCGATGCTGACGTTGGATTTGCTAATTGAAGAAATGGGTGGCATCTAGTAAAGGCTTTTTCGTCGGTGAACGATGACGTCATTATTACGAAGTGACAAGAGTTTGTTTCTTTTCATGCTAAATATAATTTATGTAATTAAAAAAATAAAAAAATTATATAGAAATAAAATTTCATGCATCAATTATTCGATTGGACCCCTAATCAATAGAGACCAACCATTTTCTGAACTCTATGTTGTATCACGCCTCAATTCTGAAAATGCATCACAGTAATAATGTTGGTAGGGAAAATATGATTTTTGTGACATGCTTTTATAACGTGCCATATTTAATAGCAATAATTGTATCGGTGACCTTGTCCTCTAGCTCTCAGGAAAAATTAGATATTGCCCCTGATTATTTATATTGGGTAAATTTTAAATTGTAAATCTACATATAATCACGCATATATATATATATATATATGCATGTATATTTAGTGGATAGTTATTTAATCAAATATACGGTTCAAATTCACTCAATGTAAATAACCAGATGTACTATCTAATTTCCCGTGTTCTAAGATGGTGTTTGGTAAATGTTTCTAGAAATAGATTCTGACCCTTTTTTGGACATCTGTTTTCAGGTGTTTTGCAAAAGAAGTTTAATTTTTGTTTCTCTTGAAATTATAATTTTAAAGCACCCAAATAGCTGTTTTTCTCTAATTGAGCTTATTTCCCAGTTAGTTAACAAATACTTCCACTTTTAGAAATAAATGTGATATGTCTATTGGCCACAGGTCCAATAGACCCATATTTACTGAGTCACATGCCCAGTTTAATAGTTATTTCTACGGAGACCCAATCACATCCAAATAAGGTTGGGCCCGATAAATTGATCTCGGCACAATCAATAAAGTATAAATAGAACTTAAATTCATTTAATGAAGGTACGCTATTATTATTCAATCAATTCTTCTATTCGAATTATCTCTACAATTATCAACTATCCGCACGTCTGACTTGAGCATCGGAGGGATTTCAGCCGGATCAACCCCAGACTTAGATTACGTGTTTTCTGTTCGCAGGATTGTTGAGTTAATTAGAGTGCTTTAGGACCATCTAGCTCGTGAGCACGGGACCTACTTTGCTCTCCCAGCTCTTTCTACTTCAATTATCTAAGGTGATCTAACTCTAACATCATCATTTTGGCGCCGTCTGTGGGAATGCATACCCGATCACGTAGCCAGCAAGATGCTCCTGAGTCATCCACTCGGAGAGAGAATGACACAGCTAACAACCTTCCAATTCGCGGAGGCTATCACTTGCCACCTCCTCCGCGTGCTCTGGATCCACCTCGCGAGGTTCAGGTGATTCCCCCTCGGGACCCACCACTCGCCAATCCTCCACTACCGGCTCCACCTCTCCCTGCTTTCCGAACGGTTCAGATAACCGAGGAGGCTCTTCAACGAATGATAACAGAAGCTTCTACTCGCGCCGCTGCTGAGGCGGTGGCCCAATACATCGCCACGATGGGAGCAAATGCTCCCCCGCGATCCTAGCTAATGCTCCACTCGCAATGCCACCCAGGACACATCAACCGGCCCAGAACAACGACAATCGGATAAGTGTGTCCTCATCCACCTCGGACCCACGGTCCCGGATGCAGCTATCCACCAATCACGGGGAGCCACAACCCAGACAACAACACCAGCACTCACCCCAACGGAGTAATAGATCTCCACGAAGATCTCATTTCCTTAATGAAGGAGAAGACGAGATAAATAGTAGAGTATCGCAAACAAGTAGTAATAGTGGACTCGTGAGAGTCAGATATCGATCCCACACGGAATACTCAAATTATATAATCCTAAGTACCGAATTCTAACAACTATGATTTTTATCCAGCCTACGCAAAGCTGTCAAATTTTATCAATTAAATAATTAAACTAATTATGAAAGCAAATAAACACGAGAAAATATCAATAAAAAAGGACCTAGAATTTTATCTTCCCCCTATGCAAGAATTGCTCACCCAAAACCCCTCAATTATGAAATATATGATTCATGATTATTAACCTGAGACACTATATTAATTATAATCCGATGTTGCGTGTATTATAATTCTATTATCCAAAACTAAATTACTATATGTCTATGCAATCCGATCATGAATAAAGCATTAAAGCATAAGTCTCAACAATAATTACCTAAGGTGAATATATGTATGTCTACGATACCACATGCAATTAACACACTAATACGGTGAAAACTACTCGAAGATTCTTTTACTTAACGTCTAATTATTAAAATAGCTCTATCAAGTCAATCCCAATAATCACAGATAAAGCACATAAATTGATTAGGTTCATGCACTAACAATCATAACAAGTAGAAGAAATAATAATAATAAAATCATAATTGCATAATCTCAAGAAAACGGGTTCACCATCCCCACATAGGGTTCCAACAAAATCCTAGATTAAAAACTTAGCTACTCATGTTCTTTACGAAAAACATACTAAAAGTAATAAAAGTCATAGATTTAGAAAAGATAGGTGAAAGAAGAATTATGATGAAAATTCGTCAGGTCTTCGTCTTCGTTCCTCCGTTCTCTCGCTCCTCTTCCTCTAAGATTGTGTTCAAAAGTTCTTTTAATTAGTGCTTGGTTTGCCCTTAAATAGATGTCCCAACTTGGTAGAAGATTTTAGTTTCCTTGTGTTATTAAAACTCTAAAATTGTCTCCAGCGTGTTTTCACATGGCCGCGCGAGAATCAGTACAATTCTCATACGGTCGCGCGAGAATCGCCAAAACTTTCTGCCCAAATTCTGCAGTTAGTGCGGCCGCGCCCAAAAATAGGCTAAATCTGGTACGGCCGCGCCAAGCCAATTTTCAGCCTCCGAATATTTTCTTTCGTTTTTCCCCGTTTTTGACCTTTATTCGCTCGTTTGATCCTTGGAACTCCCAAATCTTCAGATTGTACCTAAAATAAAATAAACCACTCATTAAGCATCATTAAATCAATAAAAGTATACAAAAATACTCGTAAGAAAGTATACATTGAGTGTAAAATATACACTCAACAAGTATCTCGCCAAAACTATTTTCCCCAAGTGAACAACCCAATTGACGGAAGAGCGTCAGTCCCAACAAGGCGCAGTCCTTTCACCATGAACATCCTCAACGAGGTATTGCCTCAAGGAGTGAAAGTATCAGGCTTACCTCAGTTCGAAGGAACCACCGATATGCAGGAACACATAAAGAAGTTTCACGCTATGGCAGATTTGTATGGCCCAATGGATGCAGCAATGTGCAAGATGTTCCGCACCACTCTCTCCAAGAGAGCCATGAATTGGTTTAATGCTCTACCCACAGGATCAATCGACACTTTCTCTCGATTATCACAATGCTTCACTAACCAATTCGTCATCAATAAACAATACGCTAAAACCCCAGCACACCTCTTATCTATCGTACATAGAGACAATGAAATACTCCGCAACTATACCAGGCGTTTTGTGGAAACTGTTCATGAAGTTCCCAGTGTAGGACAAGACATGCTCTCTGCAGGGATCATGCAGCAAAACCTGAAGTCGGGTAGGTTCAAAGAATCTATCGCCGGAAGGCCTCCTGGAAACTTAGATGAGTTGTTAAATCGAGCTGAAAAGTACATACGCACAGAGGAAGCCTCTCCCAATGCCCCTCCCAAGAAGAAGAGAGAAGATGATCGCCAGGATATTAGGAGACGAGATGATCGACGTCCTCCACCTCCATCTCAAGCCAACCATTTTCATCTTATAATCGATTCACTCCACTCAACACTCGGCTCACTGAAATCCTTCATGTGATAGAGAAAAATGGTCAAGCAGGGCCACTTACGCGAATACATCGATAAGCCTCGAAATAAGCGCCGTGATGACCTCCCACGCCGAGATAACAATCGAGATCAGCAACAACGACGGGAGGAGGGGGGTCATCGGCGCGACCAAGATAACAATGATAACTAACCCACCCGGGGAGTCATTGCCTTTATCTCCGGAGGACCAGCAGGTGGTGATTCACAAAATGCGAGACGCACCCTTGCTCGATCAGCACGTATGAATCAAGAGCATGCTTCTCCATCCGCATTTGTCTATCAGATACGAAGACCTGATCATATCATAGTCTTCAACTCATCGGACATTAAAGGTCCAGATGAAGATCATGTAGACGCGTTGGTAATCACAGCATCGGTGGCCAACTTTTTGGTTAAGAAGACATTAATGGACGGTGGGAGCTCAGCCGACATCATGTATCTCCACACGTTCAAGCAGCTGGGCATAGATAACGCCCGATTTAGCCCCATCACTACCCCACTAAAAGGATTCACGGGAGAGGGCGTTTTATCCATGGGAGAAGTGGAGTTTCCCATCTACTTAGGGGACAACCCTTGTCGAATTACAAAGATTATAAAATTCCTCATTGTCGACAAACCATCCCCCTGTAACATCATCCTAGAGAGGCCAGCAATCCAGACATTGAAGTGAGTGCCTTCATCTTACCACCAAAAGTGGAAATTCTCCACTCCTTATGGAATGGGAGAGGTACTTGGAGATAGACATCTCGCTCGAGAATGTTATGCAAGAGCTCTACGTGAGCCATCTAGGAAACCTAAGCCTTTATGGAGAGGAGACAACACCCCGAGGCACAATAAGCGAAAATGGGTCAATGCAATCATCGAAGCTGATAAAGAAATCTGAATCGGCGTACCTGACGACGCCACCAAGCTAACAGTTGTTGAAGAGCTAAAGTCAGTAGAACTCATACCCGGAGATAATTTTAAGCTCATTCGCATCGGATCTGATCTAGATCAAGAAGTGGAGAATCAACTAGTTAACTTCCTTAGACACAATGGGGATGTCTTTGCTTGGAAGGCTCAAGATTTGACAAGAATTCCTCCCAAAGTAGCATTGCATCGACTAAACGTTGACGAAAGATTGAAGCCAGTCAAGCAACGTAAACGGACTTTTGGTCCTGAGCGCAACAAGCATATCAAAGAGGAAGTTGCAAAACTCTTAGATGCAGGCCACATCAGACCGGTTCAATATCCCGAGTGGTTATCCAATGTGGTATTAGTACCTAAACCCGGAGGCAAGTGGAGGCTATGTGTAGACTTCACCGAACTCAACAAGGCATGCCCCAAGGATCATTTTCCTTTACCAAAGATCGACCATCTCATAGACTCAACTTCAGGGTGCGAACTTCTCAGCTTCCTTGATGCATATCAATGATACAACCAAATATTGCTCGCCCAAGAAGACCAAGAGAGAGCTAGCTTCATTACAGACCAAGGCATCTACTGCTATCAAGTCATGCCGTTTGGTCTCAAGAATGCAGGAGCTACTTACCAACGTCTAGCGAACACGATGTTCGCATACTTGATTGGTAAGAACATGGAAGTATACATTGATGACATGCTCGTCAAAAGTATTAAGGTCGCGGATCACCTAACTGATTTAAGTCAATGCTTCTCCATCTTACATAAATACAAGATGAAGCTCAATCCCCTAAAATGTTCTTTCGGAGTTCGAGGTGGAAAATTCTTAGGGTATATGATTTCACAACGAAGAATCGAAGCCAACCCGACAGAGATTGAAGCTATCACCTCCATGTCCCCTCCCACATCGATCAAGAAGGTCCAACAACTTAACGGTTGTTTGGCAGCCCTAAACCGTTTTATATCCCGATCAGCTGATAAAGGCCTTCCCTTCTTCAATGTGTTAAGAGGTGGGAAAAAGTTTGAATGGAATGAGGATTGCCAAAGAGCTTTCGCAAAATTGAAAGAATATATTACTTCCCCACCTCTACTAACGAAGCCCCAGCCAGGAGATACCCTCTTCCTATATTTGGTTGTTTCTGCTAATGCCATTAGCGCACTGCTCATTCGGGATGGTGAAAAAGGTCACCAACCGATATATTACATAAGCCGAGCTCTTCAAGATGGAAAAACTTGCTTTCGCCCTCATCAATGCAGTCAGAAAGTTACGTCCGTACTTCCAATCGCATCAGGTGATAGTCCTCACCAATTATCCCCTTAAACAAATATTGAGAAGTCCCGTGACTTCCGGACGATTAGCTAAATGGGCTATAGAGCTAAGCGAATATGGGGTCGAATTCAAACCACGCCCAGCCATCAAAGCTCAAATTCTGGCAGACTTTGTAGTAGAGATGACTGTATCGCAGGAGAGCACATCCATACCCACTTGGACCATCAATTTCGATGGATCCTCTACTGCTATAGGAGGAGGCGCGGGTATTGTATAAACAAGCCCAGATGGTGATGAGTTCGAGTATGCTCAAGTAATTATTCAATGAAAAGTTATTGATTATAGTTAATTTCGTCATTTTTTTTATTGATCATATATTGTAAATTAATTTTCTATTATGAGAATATTACTCAATTATGATCACGTTCTAAGATATGCAAGGCCAGCCAAAGAGTTCGAGAGGAGAATATATACAAAATGAAGAATTTTATATTTTAATTAAGTAAATTTATATATGAATAGATTCATATATAATATTTAATTATTCAATTAATTAACCAATAAATAAATTTAAATTAGGGTTGTGCGTTGGTTGGTTTGATTAAAAAACAGGCATAAAACCAACTCAATTCATCCAACAAACTTTGGTAAATATCGGAAACCGTTATCAACCCAATTTACATGGTTGGGTGATGGTTGAAAACCAATTTAGGGTCAGTTGATGGTTTGGTTGATGTGTCATCTATCTAAATACTTTTTTATTTTGTTTAAAATTTTATTAGTTGTTACAACGCTATATCTTTTATAAATTAATTATGACTGGCCTGGTTCAACAATATTTAAATAAAAAATTCAAAACATTACGATCCATATGTATTGCAATTAAACATAAATAGTTCAACAAATGATAGTCGTCCAAATATTTAGGCTACATGTCTTAAAATTATAATAGTTCAAATTAAATAATTATGTTAGATTTATTGCTTTTAGGATTTTGGTCAATCTTAGACAATTTAATAAATGTTATATAAAATAGAAATTTGAAATTAAAAATATTAAATATCTTAAATAAAATTAATAAATAATAAATTAATAAATAAAGTTGGTTGGCCGATATTACCCGACTAACCAACTTTAGTATATTAGGAACCATTATCGACCCAACTATACATGGGTTGATTGACATTATCGACCCAACTTAAATGTGTCGGTTGATGGTTGACAATCCATCACAAATTATGGGTCGAAAATGGGTTGGTTGGTGGTTAAAACCGATCCATGCACAACGCTAATTCAAATAAGTAAAAAATAAATAAAAATATTAAGGGCAAATTACGGCCACCCCTGATGTATGGCCAAATTATGAAGAAAAAAACCCCATCTTGTTTGGGTAATTACAGCCACCCTCACATTTTAATATTTTTACATAAAATTTATGTAATTCGGTTATTTACTGAATCAAATCGTATATTCAGTTCGGTAACGGTATGAAATGTTGGCGTACCGAAATTTCGGTTCGGTTTCACCGATTTAACATCACTAAATTTACCTCTGGATGTGTATTTTCATAAGATAATAAATAGTTGACGAGTGATTGTAATTACCTAAATTAAACACGAGGGGTTTTTTGTAAAATAATCATAATTCGGGGGTGGACGTAATTTATATATATATATATATATATATATATATATATATATATATATATATATATATATATATATATATATATATATATATATATATATATATATATATATATATATTAGTAGTAAAATTAAATTCAATGAATGATTGTAAGCATGCATGGCATAGTGTACACATTTATATTATCAATTTATCATACTATTTGCACAGAACGTACATTTCAAATTAAAGAAGCTTGGTCGCCAATGATACGATCTCTTGAGTATCATAAATATTTCCTACGAAACGTAAGATCGATCTATTCTTTAATATTTCTCTCTGCATAATAAAACCCTAGCACAAGACGACTATTTAAATATAAGAAAACCCTAGAATCCTAATCTAACTAGGAAAGATAATGACCTATACTAATAAAATACTTAATAATCTTCCTAACCCTAAACTAACATACGGCTATATTCCATATAAATATACTATGCTAATTAATTAATAATAAAATACTAACTAACTAATAATTAAATAATATATTATATAATATTTCGTATCAAACCACCCCTCATGAAATGAACCTTGTCCTCAAGGTTCGAATATTTGCAGCTCTCTCGAATATTTGCAGCTCTCTCTTTTTTTGCTCTTCCATCTATGCTTGATGCCATCAAATTTCTTCAAAAAGAATTTGTTCTCATGTAGGATGCTGAGAACACGAATCTCAATCAATTGGTCGACTACTTCATCACATATCTCCACCATCGTTGACACAATCAATTGATCGACTACTTCATCACACATGTCTCCACCATCGTTGACTCTTTAACGTATTGTTTGTTATGGTCAAACAATTCATTAAACATCATCAAGGAAATATTTGACACTTTTAGTGATACATCAATCTTCTCAATAGCATTGTTAGATTTCTTAATCTCCTTGAAAATCGTCAATACTCCTTCGTCTTCTTTCCTTTGAACATCATGGAAATCTCCCAATATCCACTGTAGTTCTTCGTTTTCCTCCTTAGTTAATTTCTCGTCTTCGTCCCAAATTACCTCAAGTGACTCAAATAATTTTTCTTTCGGAGCATTGATGAGAATTCGGGGCTCTTCGAAAAAATCATCGTCGTCCTCTTTCTCTTCTTCCGGCGATAGGCTCGGCAGCGGCGGCGATGGTGGTGATGGCGG